TGATACCACAGACTGTGCATGATGTTTTACATGCTCAGCAAATGAGAATCACTGTGATATCCTCTATACTATGGTGTGATAAATTTGATTGCATTCTCTCTCTCTTTTTTTTTAAAGGCAGTATTAATTGCTGTCTCATAACGGGAATGGAATAGCCAGTTTACAGCTTTGTCCACAAGTGAGATTTTTACACCTGTTCTGTTAGTTGAATGGTTTTGGATAGGTTGTTTGTATCACTGTGCAAAACAGTATCAGTGTTAGCAAGTGTGATATGAAGACAAGAACATCTGTGTTTCCGAGTATTTCAGATCACATTGCAGTAGTTGTTTTACACCAGTATATTTAGCACGTGCAAGCTAGTTTGCTGTTCTGCTTGGAAGAGATTGTGTAAGTGTTAAGATGAAAGGAAGACACAAATGGTAAAAATAACTTCAGCTGAAAATCCATCTGAGCAAGAGAATTCAAAGGAAAGTTGGTATTTCTGCCTAAGTTGTACTAAAGTATACAGGGATAAAGTCCTACATAAAACTTTAATGAATCCTAGCAAAAAAAAAAAAAAAAAGTATGTGAGTTGCCTGAAGTGCACTTGTATTCACCTGAAATCTCAAAACCAAACTACTGCTGGCATGTTTTTTCAGGGAATTAACATTGTACACTGATTTTACAAGACTTCTTGAAGTCACAATTTCTTTTCAATATTGTTAGCACTTGTCCTTGGCTAGGGGAGAAGTTTACTGTCTGTCTGTTACTGTTTTTCATACTGACAAGGGACCATTTTTTATCTCCTAGTTGTTCATATGTTAAATGCATTAAACATTAAATACTTACACAGTGCTCACCACTGACACTTCCAACTTCCCTCTCTCCACTCATTTAATTGAAAAGACCATTAGGTAATCCTAAACCCTACAGGCCTGTGGTATTTTCCCTTAAATGAGGGAGTCTCTCTTGGGATATAGCCTAACATTTTCTCTGCTTGAGAAAAAAGCCTAGAAATATTAGGGCCAAAGTCTCTGGGCACCAGCCGTAACCTGGAAAAGCTGTATCAGAAAGAAGTGACAAGTGAAAACACAATTTATCAGGTAGCTTGAGCTTCAGTGTGAGGGAGAAGAACAGGACAACCCATTAGGAGGGGAGACAGACTGACCAGCTGATGCTGGAGTGCACTGGGATGGATGAAATAGGACAGCTGATTATCTTCTCCAGCTCAAGAGAAGGAAGGGAACTGCTGACAGAGAGAGAGGAGTTGGGCATGGAAGTCATCTAAGGGCCACCTGAGTTTCAGCAGACCTCTGAGCTTTTCAGGCTCTTAAAGAAAGTTGAAGTCAGGCAAGCTTCAGAACTTAGTGGCATTATGAGGTCATTTCAGCAGAAACTTGTAAACCACAGAAAGTTTTGTATCTCACTTCTGGGTTAATTTATTAATGCATTTGGGGTTTGCATTGAATAATGTATTTGGGTTATAATGTATTTCTAATTAAGAAGAGCAAAACCCACACAAAGTGTCAGAAAGAAGACTGTGTGAGGTGTGTTTCTGTAGCCAAGACCCTAGTGGAAAGACTACAGGTAGTTATAGTGTGTGGCCACAATGAGCAATATGATTGATTTTGGCTGGTCCAACTCTTCTTGATGTATTTATCTTAAATAAGAGGACAGGGTAATAAGTAACTCTTATCTGGATCTTTTCAACACTGATGTCAAGCCCTCGGAAGTGTTGTGCAAATCCCGATGACTATAGCATCCTGCCTCACTGAATTCACACACAGATCTCAAACATGTGACTGAGCCTGGTTTTAAATTGATTATCATATACAAACCTGTGAAATCTCAGGCTTTCAGGGTGAGGCACATTCACTTTCTCACGCCTGTTTTGGGTTTCCTCAAAGTGGTGCCATACCTCATAAGTTTGCAGTGCCACAACCAGCCCGTCTACCAAGGTGCTCAATGCTTCCTAGCTGGCCTTGTCTGTGGGACAAATGTAATGCTCACAGTCTGTTATGGGTAAAAAGGAAACACCTTATACATAAACCCAAGAATTTATTATTAGTATAATTGAACTTTTAGCACTCTAATCCAACAATCATTATTAGTCTAGATCTAATTATCTCAGGAAAAGAAGGAAAAGAGAAAAAAATAAAAGACATGAATACTCTGGGCAGAAACATGTTAATAATAATAAAAATAACAATAATAATAACAACAGCAAAAATAATAGTTAAATTTGTTGTATACACACTTCCTAGTAGTGTAGTTCCTTTTCTAAATGTAATGCTTTTACTCTTCCACTGCTCCTCTGAGTCCTAAGGCAATGATTAGGAGATCTGTTCTACAAACAGCAGTAATTTCCGTATTCCATCCTCTTCAGAATAGCAATCAACTTTCCACTAACTTTATGGAATAAGATTGGTCTAGATATTTTGACATATATATTCACATTACCACACACAGCACTAGGAAATCCAGGGGACATAAAATCTGAATGTTCCTTGGTGCTTTTGCAGTGGTATTTGCAACAGACAACATCTTGGCACAGGAAAACTAGCTGATCTGGTTATGAGAAGATTGCAAAATTATTTTACCAGTTTTATTTTGTGTCAGAACCCTTGAAACTGAGGAAACAGTGCATCTGCTACCTGCTTTATTCCAGGGGGCGTATTACATCTGCAGAAGAAGGCAGATTCTCTTTGACAAATTTCTACCTAAAAAAAAAATTCTAATGGAAAAAATGGAAGTACCAGCTTCTTAATAGTATCCTACTAGTGTAGCGCTCTTTCACTGCATAGAAGTGCAAAATTTTTTGAACGTTGCTTGATGTCTCTATAGATTATTTCCATCACATGTAAGGGTAGCATAAAATCCTGTAGATTTACATCATTAAAAATAAAATTTCATGTTTAGAGAAGAGGCACAATGCTTCTGAGAGCTCTGCTGTGTATCAGTACTTGGGGTGATGCTGGCTATGTTTGTGTCTCTAATCTGATAGCTCTTACAACGCAAAATAGCTATTTGTATTATTCCTTTTTGCAGCCACATTAGGCAGAGAAAGAGCCTTCTAAAGGGAGAAGTGTCCTAAGAATCTACAATCTTGATCTGTGACTGTCCTTGAGCAGAGGATGGGGGGGTCTGCATCTGCCCTTCTAGACTCTTAATTACCAGCCTTTCACATGCAGCAGTAGAAGTCAAGGACAAGGTGGAAGAAACTCTGCAGTGAGTCCAGCAAAACCTACTTTTTTACTTCTTTGGTTAAAGCTTCATGTTTCATTTGGGTTAAATTCTGCTATTACACACACACACAGAGCATGATTTCAGTGAGAGCTGAACACAAAAAAATAATAGAAACCAAAGAGTTTGGCCCTTGTCTTGTAACCCAGAGACAATCCTAGTCTGTTGATGAAAACACTGTTGCATTAATAATGCAAGAGTCTCTCTGGGATGTTTTAGGTTCACACTTGCAGAATTTCGTGATGGCATTGGAAAGAATTGTGTGTGTCTGGGGCATAGCTGGTGTGTATCACTTCGAATGACATAGGAACCTGAAAAGGGGAAGGATCTTTGAAAAATTGCAGTGCTTTTGACCATTTTGTCTTTTTGAAATTTGAAATTCAGCAAGGCAAATAGAAAATTACTGAAAAATAAGAATTTAGGGACCTTATCTTGTATTCCTTATTATTTCTGCTAACAAGATTGCAGATATGACACGAACATATGTTTTAAAACCAGAGAGTCCTTGAATACTATCTTTATCTAAAAGCAGTCTTTCCTTGGTTTTGGTCTTTTTTACACAACTGGTGGCAAAACAAAGTGATTAGGGCAAATTGTTTGCTGTTTCACATGTGCCTGATTTCAAACAGAAAAAAAAGCTGCCAGGTATGAAATGATCGTTCTGTGAAATCTAGAGGCCTAAAATAAGTGCAGGGGACTCTCCACAGGTATTTTATACCCTTGAAAGCAGCTCCTTGCTGCTCTAAGTCCCATGCAGTCTGGTTTGGACTGGGACCCCCTCTTTGACCAGTCAGTTGTGTCTTCCCTGCACCCAGGAAACTTGGCTCCTGACTGACAAATTTTGTTCTGTCTAAGCTGCAGTGAAGCAGACCATTGGGAAAGTGTCAGTGTGTGACAGCTGGCCAGAAAACAGTTCTGTTTTCCCTTCTTCTCAAAATACCAATTAAAAAAGAATACATACACACACACACACATATATATATATATAAACTCCGATTCTTCTCCCATTTTCATCTTTGACATCAACAGATGATGGTAAATGTCACAGAAATACTTTTATCCAAACTCCAAAATTCTGGGCACAAAGGGAAGATATGTGACCTGAGATGCTGGCCCATATTTCTTTTCAATCATTAAACTGCCTGCGCAGTACAAAACCCCCTGCAGAAATACACAAAGAGAGGGCTTTGTTTCTAAACACTTAGAAGTCTTTTGAGAAGTAAAACAATATGATAATGGAGCTGCAGGGCATGCCTTATCCATTGAGGAATAAAACTTAGACATGTTAATTACACTATCATAAATGAGAGAAGTGTTTTCTCTACTGTGTAGTTAATGGCAAGAATATTTTGTCACTGAGGTTAGAAATGTATTTGAAATCTTTAGGAAACCTAAAAAACGCAATTATATTTTCAGAAGGAAAAGTAGAACTAATAAAACATATAATATTTTTAATTACCCTAAAAAATACAGTTTTTGACAATACCCAGGCTGTGTTTTTCCTGGTTTCAGGTACTCTCTTGTTTAACTTTAAAATTTTGTTTACAATAATATTACCTCAACGTAAGTGAATTTATATTGGGATTTTGAGAACAGATCATTCTCAGCAGGAAAGTGGAGGCAAGACTTATTTTGCTGAAGAGCTCCAGGGTGACTCTCAATTCCATCAGATGTATTTTGCGTGTTACCATCTCAAAAATCAGCAAAATCATCCTTTCCTTATCCTAATTTAGGGGTGTGAGACATTAGAAAGACTTTCAGGAGCCAAGACAAAAAGGTGCAGTTTAATATGTTTATTCGAAGAAAACTTTTCTAAAATGGCAGAAAATAATGCTGTATGGAAAAAGAGATGGTGCCTACGTGCTACGTGCCATTTTGTGGTGCTTGCCTTTATCAGTGAGCGCTGGGGACACAGAGTTGGAGGTCCCACACCTCCAGCGACAACAGGGACCACCAGGCTGCTTTGATGACGACACATTCAAGTGTGTGGGTCTCTAGGAGTGCCCAGTTTAAGGGGCACCTGGAGGCATTGCTCTGCTGTTTTTGAAGGCATCACCACCAAAGGCTGCTTTAGGCAGAAGCAGCTCCAGGGACCCCCTGGCTGTGCCCCTGGGAGCGTCACACAGCAAAGCAACAGGGCCCTGAGCTGAGTGCCCTTTTCATCTGGGAGCTGAAGCAAAGGGGGAATGGTGACAGTGGCTGAGGTGATTCCCTCTTTGCAATGTGAAGTAATCCCACGCCTGTTGCCTTCCCTGCTTCCCAGAGGGGGGGTCCCATGCCTGTCCCAGGGATGTAGGGATTTAGGTATGGAACAGCTTCCACAGGGCAGAGCATATTTGGGGGTGGGCAGAAGCGATGCTTTCATCAGAGGAGAAAATAAATGATAGAGGAAGAACCCTGCTTGCTGAAATGTATTAAAAGAGTTCTAAAACTTAATTAAAAATAATGCTGTGGGAAGCTTGTAAGGTCACCATTTTACAAACAAACTGGTGCTCTTAGTAAACTAATGTTGCCACTTACTACGCTGTAGTTCACAGCATATCCCAGAAGGAGGTACAGGTGTACTGGTCCTCGCAAGAGGATGCTGCACACATGGTACAACCTCCAGGGCCGTGTCAGACCTTAGCCCAACTACTCACACCAGAAGAAGCCAGCTCGGGTGAGCTCACAGGAACCCTGCACTGTCAGAGCAGCCGGAGAGCTGGGTGGGTGCTAGAAACGACTGAGCAGCTCCGGCACCTCCGACAGGTCTGGAGAAGACACGGACACAGGACTGAAGTAGTCCTTTAAGATGGGCCTTGAACGTCATCCCCGCAAAGGCGTAGATCACGGGGTTCAGGCAGCAGTGGATGAAGGAGATGGTTTCAGTCAGCTGCAGGGCCAGGGCTATCTGGTAGCTTGCCTTGCAGTCATTGATGATGTGCAGGCTCTGCAGAGAGTCTAGGAACAGTGCGACGTTGAAGGGAGTCCAGAAGAGGAAGAAAACGATGATGATGATGAAAATCATCTTAATTGCCTTGATCTTGTTCCGATTTTTGCATTTTTGCAGGTTTTTCAGTATCTGGGCGTAGCAGCAAATGAGGATACTAAGAGGAATCAAGAGGCCTAAGATATTGGCTGCAAACTGAGAAACAACCTTCCAGGTATTGTCGCCTGGGGGGTATGTGGAAACACACTGCACAGACTGCTCGATTTCCAGCTGCTGGTTGAACATGATGTTGGGTACGGAAGCCAAGCCAGCCACGAGCCACAGGATTAAACTGATAATTGTGCCACAAGAGGCTGTCCGTATCTTCATGGCATAGACAGCGTGGACAATTGCTATATACCTGTCTATGCTCATTAGGGTTATAAAGAAAATACTGCTATAAAAGCCTGTGTAATAAACGCCAGCCATTATCTTGCACATAGCATTGCCAAAAACCCACTGGTCCGACGCATAGTGGGCTTGGAAAGGGAGAGGCACAACAAAGAGGAGATCAGAGGCTGCGAGGTTCAGCAGGCAGATGTCAGTCATTGTCGCCAGCCTTTTCCTGGTCAGGAGAACCCAAAGGACCAAGGAGTTTCCCACAAGGCAGAAAACAAACACAAGGCAGTAAAGAATTGGCAGAAAGAGAGATTTAAACCTGCGAAAGCTGTTTCCTTCGTTGCACGGAGCAGTGTTTTCATCATATCCATAGTCGTATTCTGTTGTTCCAAGGAACTGGCTTGTGGGATTCATCTCAGATACCTGTGCAGGAAAGACCAAGAGATAAATGGCTAACTGTCCTAGCATGGGACTCCCAGGGTTGCTTCTGCCTGCCTTTGTGCTGCATTGAGCCCATGGGCCAGCCCCCAGTCAGAGAGGGATAGCACAATGCTGTCTTGGTCTCACTGCCTGGCCAAGAGCAGCTGTACCACCAAAAAGGCCTGCCAGTTGTTCCTGTACTTGTGTAAGTATGAGCACTGGATGCCCTCAGTTTCCCCGAAACTGCCTCAGTGCCAGGGAGTTAGCCCCTCATCATTGCAGCGACAGGGAAATTTCATGTTCTGAATAGTCAAAATGGTATAAAACCTGCATCTGATCTAAGAATCTGGATTTTCTTGTGCTCCCTTGAGTGGAAAAGCTTTTTGCCTGTAGCTTAAAGACCCTTATAAAAGCATCTGGACTGAAGAAGCCACCACCCATCAGCATAGCAACATTTTTAGCTGAGCTGATCCAGGCTAGATGCTGACATGGAGTGCAGAGACATGTAAGCTGGTTTTCTATGGGTGAGTTCAGGTCTGCATACAAAAATCCTCCGTAGCAGCAAGGAGTTCGCAGGGCTACGCCTGCAGTGCTGAGCTCTGGGCTGCGGCAGCGAGGCTGCCACTGACCTCCAGGTTAGCTGGCGAGCAGTTTGGCTGTGCCTATTTCTAAAACGCAGCAGTTTATTGCACCTGTCTGTTCTGCCCAACTTCAGTTTTCTAGCACTCAAGGGGGGGTGTTTCCTCTCTGTCATTTCTGAAGAATTGTAATGAAGAGAGCTTTCAAATAGCCTGACCCGCTCTCGAAAAGTGAGTCAGTGCTTTATCCACCTTTTTTTTTTTTTTTTTTTTCAGGTGTCACCTCATGACCCCTATAAAAGGGGATCTGGTTTGCAGAGTTAAGTGTTCACATTTTAAGAAGGAATGGTTCTTTCAAAAGACACTATTTCAGAGAATTTTGCCTTGTCACTGCTAAGACATTTGCAGGTTTATTGCGCACTGCACTTGCGTTATGCTTGCATACAGTTTGATCACACTGTTAAAGATCTTCAAAGACACAGGAGTCTTCAAAGACACAAAGTTTCCAGGAGGGAAGAACCATTTGTAATAATCATTGGTATTAAGCTGGAGCAATAATATGAATGACAATGATTAATTTATTAAAAGTAGAGGACATCCTTTCCTGAGTTAAAAATCGCTGCTTGGGTATGCAAAGAGAGGACGGTGAAAATTTTCATATCGATGAGGAAGGAATCAGGTTTCACCACTTCTTGCCCGGCTGTGCCACCTTGTGCAGGGAAACAGGAGGACCCGTACGCACAGCACGGAGGGGTGCTGGAGTCGGGGTTTGTCCTCTGTTCCCGGTATGGGTGCTGCTCGTGCCTCACTGACCTGCCTCAGCTTTTCTTGGGGCACCAGGACCAAAGTCAACTGGCATGTGCAATGCAGAGAAACCTGTTGCAAATACAGTACTCAGCCCTACTGGGTTCCTTGTTCGGAAATAAGGAGTAATGACAGAAAGGCAGTGCTGTAATCTACGTTGAAAGTGTAATTCTTTTGTATATTGAGTTTTCAGCTGTAGATAGGACATCTGCATTATTAATTTCAACTTTGTTTTCATGCATAAACCCCTTAATATCACGCTATTTAGTCACTAGATAATATCTGTTCATGCAGCAACAGGTATGGGTAGAAAATATTTCCTGCTAATGCTTTTGATGTCTGACCCTGACACACTGTGACTGCAAACGTTGCAGCAATTGCTTGCTTTTCTTAATTGCCTGTCATGGACCCCTTAAAAGCGGTCCATATATTCAACAATCAAAAGTAAAAAATTTTCAAAAAATAATAAATACTGTGTGATAGATAGATAGATAGATTAGATAGATAGATAGATAGATAGATAGATAGATAGATAGATAGATAGATAGATAGATAGATAGATAGATAGATAGATACAGATACATAGATATAGATTTATAGATATGGTGCATCTGATTTTGACAGAATTCAAAAGAGTTTTTCCTGGACTGAACAGAGACTGGAGATGCTCCACTTTTGACTTTCAGACCACCTTTACACCGTTAACACCTCTGACAGCTTCCAACCAGGGCACAGCATTTTCCATTTTCTCCCCTCTCCACATCAGTTTGTAAAACAGTCAAACTGAAAAAGCAATTTTCCGGAGGGTATCAAGAGAGAGAGGACTGCTGCAGGTCTCTTTCCCCTGGTTGCCAAAGTTAGCCTGTTACTTTTAAGGGTAGCACATTAAATGTGGATGGACTTTACCTTTAACAGCAAGAAGCCTCTACTCTCTCAGTTGACCCCGGTCCACTTTTCCTTCTATCGTGTCCGTGTCCTCTCTCTTGGGCTCCGGAGTTTCCAGGAGGCTTACTGCATCGCTTGTGGAGATGGCTGAGATTTGGTGATATGCGGGTGTCAAATGGACAGCTGCCAGTTCCAGGATAGGTTTTGAGGCAAATAGAAGATTTTATAGCTGCAGTAAACAGGAAAAGAGGTGTGAGGGCTTACAAACACATTCTGTGAAACACAAGTCAAATACAGCTCTTTTTGAAGACAGAAAAGATCGTACATGAAGAGGTGCTAATGTTTGCTAAACTCCTTCTTCACAGTCACCCCTGATTTAAGTGAAAAATTTAAAAGTTCAGATGTCTCCATCGCAGAACACACCCTAATAAATTTGCAACTTTTTACAGAAGCTGTCATATAATTTCTGAGTCGCACTATTTTAGTTTTTCGTTTCCTTCAGCTAATATTGTCTTGTACTTTGCAGTCTGGTTATGTCCCTCCCCATTAGTAATGTATTAAGTTTCTGAGCAAAATAAGAACTCACAGGTACTGATACTCCTTTGCAATAATTTTTTAACCATCTTTTATTCAAGCGGAGATATTTCAGAGTTTCTTTGCCACCTTCATGTTTTTTAAAGTATATTTTAGTGCATTTAGGATACATGGTCAAGACAAAATATTGAAACAAGGACAGGCTTTTAATTTTTTATTTCTTTCAATAGCTTCAAATTATTTTTGTTTTGTGTAATACTGTAAATTGTGGTGCTTTATAAATCAGCCAAATTATATGATTTTCATCCATTAATCTCAACAAGCATAATTTTCCTGATCTACTGGAGCACAGAGAACAAAAGAGATTTGCCCAAGAGTCCCAAACAACTATGTGGCAGATTCAAAGCACGGCTGTTATTAAAGTTATTTACCTGTTCTTTGCTAACAGCTAGCAGCTCCAATCCAAAGTAGCTTTCCAGCTTGCTGGCTGCTACATAAACAAATAGTGAAAGAATGTCCCAAAGAAGAGAAGAGCTAAATACTTCAAGCAGACAAAAAAAAAAAAAGTGAGAAAATAGGCTCAGGAAAAAAAAAAAAAAAAAGAAGTAACGTAATGAAGGACCTGGCACTAGTCAGTAGCACAGCCAGAAATAAAAGACCTGTCCCCTGAGGTATTCAAAATGCTACCGATGACCATGGCATCACACTGCTCAAGTACTCAATTGGTCTTATTATGTAAGAGAGACCAGTTCCTCTTTTTTAATTTATTTTTTTTCAGAACTAACTTTTTAACATTGTTGTAACAGAACTTTCTTTTATTCTATTCTCTCTTTATTCATTATACGATTAATAATATGTCAATACTATGTCCTGCTGTTACAGACATACAGTACAACATAATGTAACTCCATTCTATTTACTTTTTTTTTTTAGAAATCAATAAGGTCAGCTTTCATTGTTTCTTATGATCAAAACATCAATCAGTTAAAGACGTCCCTTTCTCCATTGGATGCTTTTTGCATTAGTTGGGATGCTAAGTTAATAACATATATAAAAAAAATAAAGAATAGTTTGATATGAAACTGACAAAATAATGACATGTATTGGCATTTTAAAAAATTTATACATATTCTAAACTGAAAAAAAAAATCTTACATTCTTTCTTGAGTTATTTTCTGTTGCCTGTATTATGATTTTGTAAAAAAAAAAAATTCATTTCATTCAAAATGTGTATTTTTTTAATTGGGAAATCTTCCAGTTGTGTATTTGCATCAGCTGCAATTCTGCACGGCCAGGCAAAGCATGGCATGAAGCTGGAAGAGCGCAGCAGGGAACTGTCAGAGGAAATGCACCGTGTATTGGAGAAAGCTGGAGCAAGCAAGAAGATGCAGAGGCCCTTAAAGGCTAGGAAAAGAGCTTGAATTCAAGTGAAAAAAAAAAGATAAGATACAAGTGAGCGTGCCTGGAGACTGCTGTGGTTGCGGGATGGCTGGCTGCTGTTCTTTGGGCAAACCGGAGAGGACTACGCCGAGTGTATGGGTAACAGCCTGTAATAAGGAGAGGGAGGAAAAAATTGTGGTGGTGCCGGTGTTTTGAAGGGAAACAGCAGAATTACGGGGTCTAATGTAACGTTTCCAAGAGCAGATTTGCTGTGTTTTGAGAAGTGATATATATGTTTGAGTCCCTGGCCCTGCCTGGCTTTCAGAAAGGTTTATGTGCCTGTGCCTATTCTGGGGTTGTTGGTGTTCCTGACACACAGCTGTCTCCCGAGCTTTTCTCAACAGAGTAATACAATTCATTAAAGGCAATGGAGGATGTGATTTGTCAAAGGCAGTGAAAGGAAGGGAGAAGAGCAGGTTTAGGAAATGACAAATACGGCTTTGGAAAGGTGCTGTCCCTGACTGGCAGGTATTAGGTTGGCCCACAGCACGGGGGTAGACTTGGGAACTGTTGGCTGAAAGGATGATATTTTAAAACTAACGGGAGATGCCTGGGTTGGGGGACAGGGAAGAACTGGAGTCAGATTTTATTCATCTCCCCATGCTGAGCCCTACTCATTCTGCTACAGGTAATTTGAGGGGAGCGTGGGCAGGCAGAGCTCTGCTGGGCTGGAGGATGGTAGAGATAAATAACCACGGGTGTATTCACAGATGTAGAGTGCTGAAAGCTGCAGGTATGCTAAATTTCCCTTGAAAGTTCAGAGGAAGATACCAGTGGGGGGGTTGGGAGGTACGCATTTCTGATTTTCCCTTTTTATCTGTGAGCCAGGCTGTAATGACCTGTATCCTTCCTGACACTTTTTCAGTCTGTGAGTAGCATTCACTTCATCCGAGTTAAACAAGGGCCACGCAAGCAAACAGGGATTTTCTGCCGAGCCAACAAACAGCCCTTTGAAGTTCATCTGTGGATGATAACAAAGCAGAAAATGTGGTAAACCGGAAAGAGGCGGTAAAAAATGAACAGGGACATTAAAGGTCACCTGCACTTGCAAGTGCTGAACTCGAGCAGAAAGAGGTGCAGAGAGGCTGCAAGGTGTCAGGAGGAGCAGCGCAAGAGAGGTGGGCTCCGCTTGGTAAAGCAAAGCTGTGGAAGGGGTAGGTTGACTAGGTACAGATAACCCTGCGAGGAAATGACCAGGGGAAAAGGAGGATTGTCTCACCTTACATGACGAACAGGCATATGAGAACAATATTTACAGGTTGTCCCTTGGGCTGCAGGGAGTTTGCTAGCAGGGAGCTGGGGCTGTGGGGCAGCCATCCCCCGGCAGGAGAGGAAGACGGCGGGTGTAAAATGGTCCTTGGTTAAGAGTGTGCAGGAGACGCCTGACCTGGGGGCTCTCATCGCCAGGGACAGGACAGCAGGCACCGGGCAGTCCCTCCCAGGGCCTCGGGGGTGCTCCCAAGGTGCTGGGTGGGAGCCACAGGGCAGGGAGTTCCCAGATCTGTTTGCTAAGACCCCCCTCTGAAATCCACTCTAGTGCTTCCTTCTTCAGCAGCCCTGGCTGCTGTCTTGCAGCATCCCTCCAGTTGAGTTTTACCTGGACACTAATACCAGCGCTAGCTGTGTAACTCCATACTCTTGTGGGCTTTCCTGTGAGAAGGAAATACCTTACAGCAAAACAGAGACAACTGACTGTTGGCATCTCTGGTGCTCCAGCCCGTGGCGCGTTTGGGTTTGGGTGCAGGAGCTGTGACACACACCACGTTCCATGTGCCCCATCAGGACTGCAAGCTGCAGGAGAGAAGAGCCATGTGGCATCACCACCTGGGTGCAAACGCCAGTGCAGAGGCAACGCAGTCACCACTCAGGTTAAGAAACACAGCAAAAATGTTGCTGTAGGAGGAGCCTTCTGGATTTTCTTCTTATGTTTTGATGGAGGGTATCAGGTCAGCCTGCAGTGGCCGCAGCAGCCCCAGGCAGATGGCAGGTGCTAGGGAGTCTCCGTGGGGCTGTGCACAACACCATTCATGCTTCCTCTTTAGCTGAGCCTGCTGCCATCACCACCACAGCAGTTGTTGTATTTACTCTCCAAAGTTACGGTTTCTGCTGTTTTTTCTTCTGTCAGAAAAGTTGCTTCAGTGGGGAAAAAAACCACATGCGATGCTTCATATAGCTGAAGATACTGCCAGCCTAAAAGTGACCAGCATGTCAGAATAACGCAGACTTCCATTCCCCCAAACTGCCGGGGGCCCCAAGATCAGGGAAATGATGCTCCACTGAAGCCCCATGTTAAATGGAAAGGTTGTGGTAAATGCCACCATCAAAATGAATCTTGCTGTGAGGCAAACAGCATGGCCACGCCTGCAGCTCCTGCAGCCAGACATGTTCACTGGCACCCGGGGACCACCCATGCATGCTAGCTCAGCCTCTGACATTAATCCCAGAGCGTTTTCTTATTCTGTGCCGCCACTGCATCCCCTCAGCCTGGGGGTGACGGCCACCTTAGCTGCTGCAAAACTGCTATGCTCTTGTAGAAACCTCTCCTTCCTCCTACAGACGGTCTAGATGAATTGAGTTTGAACACAGAAAGGAAACTGTGGTTGCAACAGAAGACACCACCAGCAAGAACTTGCTTTGTCCTCAGGAGCCCCAGCCGCGAGACCTGGTATGGCTCTGTCTGCTTGGTGAGGCGGATGGGAAGCACCTTTCTGACACCACACACAGGCTCTGGTGTTGGTGTAGCAGCCATTAGGAAAAGATGGGTATAAAAGCAGAGTAAGATACCTTACCCGGTAGGATGTTTTCCAAGAATAGACTAAGTATTTCCTGGTTCTGCTTACTATCATAGCACCTGGCTGGAAAGCAGAGGACAAGTTTGTGATGCTCTTCTTCCACCCATCTCAAAGCGGAGGTAAGCAGCCGAATCAGTGGTCCAAGAAGAGCACTTTCCTCTGCCTCTGATGGACAGCAAAATAAGAGCAGCTTCTTAGTCAAAAAGAGGCATTTCCCATTCAAATCAGCTCTCACTTTGCATCTCAGAGGGCTTACTCTGTCTCGTTAGAAGAGGAGGGAAGAGGTGACTTGGTTCAGCAGAGAAAGCCAAACCAGATTAACTGGAACAGGGGATATGTGATGTCCATAAAAGCTGGGTTGCTCAGCTAAAATGGCTTGTAAAATACCAGCAATGGTGGGAAGAGCAATGACAACAGCTCATCTTTGCAGGAGAAGGTAGAAGCAGAGAGTCAGGGCGAGCATCTCCTCTGTAGCGTGGGAGCAGCATGACAGGTAGAACTTTGATGAACCTCCCACCCACAATTCCTCCTCCTGGTGATGTATCTGCCCCATCAACCCTCTCCCACGCCTATCTGCTGCCTGCATGGACCAGCAAGTGCCCTTCCCCAGCTGCAGCACCCTTGGCGAATCCCTTGCACCCCCCTCCCACAGGGCAGTGGGGACGGATGAGGGGAACACCGAGCCCTGGGTGCCCAGGGCTGGCGGTCACCTGGGGGGTATAGGAGGAAACCCCACATAGGACCTGTCTTTTGAGGAATCCTTGCTTCTTTCAGTTATTGCTGCAATGTTTGGGTCTGTCAGCATCAGCTCTCAACACACCATCTTAGTAGGACCACATCAGCTTAATCAAAATCATTTAATCAGACCACTGCCAGTGTAGAGGTACAAATATGCCATATGGCAGAACGGTTCATTTCCCTTTCTTAATGAGGATAACATATTTGTATGCCTGTGTACAAAGAGGTGGGTGAGATTTCGTGAGCAGGTGAGATTTTCAGTGATCCGTTTTTTTTGTCATCAAAAAAGTATATTTAGGGTGACTAAAATATTTCTGAAAGCACCAAGTTGTTTTGGGGGGGATTCCCCTCCTCCAAATTAGAGGGAAAAAAAAAAGAAGAGTCACAATACTTTATTCTGACGAGTTCCAGACAAAACATTGACATTTTTAATTTTTAATGTGTCATTTTCAAATATAGCAATTTTTTCATTTTTTTTATGTTTTTTTCTTTTTTTTTTCTTTTTTTTTTTTTAATAAATAACCTCTTTTTCTAACCTTTCTTCCCCCAAAACAGACTTCAAAGCTTCAAAAAATTTCCAGTAGAACTAAGATTTGTCTGTTTTGCTGACACCAGACAGAAATCTTTAGTTTTCTTTTCAGTTCGGTCAGCAAAATTATTGACACTCTCCACAAAAGTGGAGTTGTATTACTGTAACAAAGTGCTTGTGTATGCGGACATGTACAGATGTGCATACGAAAAACCTATTTGGCATTGCTCTGGCTCTCTGTCCTGCAGCAGATGTTCCATGCGGAAAAAAAGGCTGTGAGCCAGAGTCCTCTAAAAGCTGTCGCTGAGTTTGTACGGGAGAAGCAGCTGGAGGTGCTTGGTGAGGTCTGCACCAGTTCATTCTGCTCCACGCTCCGCTTTTCACTGCTGGCACCAAAGCCACACGGATTATGGCCCTGACAGCTGCGGCCTTGCACAACCGCTTAGTTTCATCAAAGCAGAAATCAGTGCGTTGCAAAACTCCCAGCACAGTAACTCATTCATAACGATGTCAGCAGTGAGTGGGATTTTCTCACTCGGGCTTTACGGCAGGGTGATTGTGGGACAGAAAGAAGTAAACAAATACATCTCTTGCATATGTAGTCTTTGGGAACAAGACTCTGTTCCTTCTGTGCCTTATCTGATGCTTTTTTTTCTCACCCTAAAGAATTTTGTTTTTTAAGCCTTTGCTGTCCCACACCTTTAGTACACCCGTGCACAGGTAACTCTCAGATTAACATCTGACACTGCTTTGCCTAAGGGTGGAGAACAGAGAAGGGTGCAAGCGGGAATGAGTTAGAATAGAGAAATCACAGAAAACAGGGCTGGATGGGACACTGGGAGATTATGTAGTTCATCCTCTGTCTTGAGGACAGGGGCAGAGTCCCACTGTTATTCTTCCACATGGCTGTTCAGCCTGTTCCTACAGCCCCTGCTTTCCTCCCAGCTTCTCTTTACGAATGATCCCAGTGTTTGTCCAGACTCACTCCTAGTAAATCTGTCTTAATACTTAATCTAAAACTCTCCTGGTATGATTTGAGTCATGGAGGAACAATTGCTACTTTCTTCTAGCTGCTTTAACATTTTCTAAGATCATGTTTCCCTTCAGTCTTAATAGCTCATATTCCATCATCTTTTTCCTCTTTGGTCATGTTTGCTAAATTGTCAATTGTAGCCACTGTTCTCCTTTGGCGGCTGTTCAGTTTTCCTTAATCTTTTTTGCATCACAGTGCCCAAAACTAGACACAGAGCCCCAGCTGTGGCCATGCCCCTGGCAAAGCAGACTGGAAGAGTCACCTGCCCGGGGTAGCTGTCTTCTTTCACAGTCACGTAGCACTGGTGACTCACACTTCTCTCGTGCTGGATGCCAGCCCCCGGATCCTTTTCTCCAGAAGTGCTGCCTTCCCCATCCTGTGTTTGTGGTCTTGGCTGACCCTGCCCACTAGCAGAAGTGGGCACTTGTCCTTAATGACCTACAGGCTCCCAGGCTCTTTAATTTGAGCAGCCATCATGTCCCCCAGTACATTTGCACCCCCTCCCAAGGTGGTGGCACGTGTAAAAACAGTAAAAACATGCACTAGCCCTTCATCCAGAACAGCAATGCGCACGCTGGCTCGTGCTGGGGCAGGACCCTTCGGGGCAGCTCCCCTGTCCAGCAGCGACCGCCCAGGCCTTTGACTGTCTGACCACTCGTGCACACACGTGAAGGCTGTTTGATATGCTCAGACACCTTGCTAGCTCCGAGGGACGGGATACCACCGCTTTGCCTGGCTGGCAGGAGGCTGTAACTGAAGCTGATTTGACACAGTTTCTTGACAAGTCTGTATCGGCTCTTACTCTTTTTATTTTCTTGCAGGCTGCTTCTTCCTTCTAGTGCTTTCCATCAACCGTAATTACACTCACTGGCACATAATTCCCATTCTGGTGTAAAATGATGTTTCCTGACCAGGTTATCTAAGGTACCTGTACCGTCTGGCTGCCCAGTGCTCTCCACCAGACCTTGGCGCCGGCTGTACCGGCTCAGAGCAAAGGGCCACTGGAGCCAGTGCCCTGCCCCAGCAGCGCCCAGTCAAGGTGCCCCAGTGCGCAGAGGGGGCAACCTCAGAGCCCAGCCAGAGCTCCGCTCCCAGCGCCCAGCCAGGCAGCGCCGGGCAGAGGCCGCCGAAAACCGCCGCACGCCCTTCCTGCCGACGCTCGGAGCTTGCTTCTGACCCTTCAGGTGTGAGGTCTGTGAGCTCCGGCACAGAAACCGAGCAGGATTCGTCCCACCACAGCAACGCCGCCTCACCCTGTGCAACACTTTTTTAGCTCTGTGAATGCAGATAAACCACATCGGGCCGGCGCCTGGGCGAGGGCGCTCAGTTAGCTACTAGGCTAGACTGGCTCCTGGCTGGGTTTGGGCACGGCCCCGTTCGCTCTCTCTGCTCTCTGGCAGCAGCGGCGCGTGGTGCGGACCGCCAGACTTGCTCCCGGTTGCAGGGCTGGCACCCACCCGTGGCCGGGCAGCGGTGGTACCCCCTCAGGGCACACCGCCGTGCTGCGGTGGCCGTGAGGAATTGGGGGGGCTGCAGGGTGAGAAATTCCCCGTGCGGCCACCAGCACCCGTGGCTGCCTCTTGAGCACGGGTCTGCTCTCGCCGCAGGAGCCTCCCGTGGAAGCAGCTCTGGAGTCTTACCAGATTTTAAAAGGAAAAAAAGGGTTTCAACATACGAAACCATGCTCTTAAAACAGGGAAGCCCGCGTGGTTTAAGACCCGGATGGTGACTCAGGGACCCTGGAACCAAATCTGCACCCTGCCACTGGCAGCGGGTCCCCTCAGGGGGGTCACCTGCCTTTAGCGATGCCCCCCAGGGCAGGCTGCTCTCGGCACGAGAGCGTCACGCAGCGAAATCTGGGCAATGGTCCCATCACGCTGGCACTTCCCATCTAGACCGCAGCGGCTACAATCTCAACGCAGGTGTCTACGCGGCGTTGTCCTGTCTTTCACATCTTCCCTCGGGCCTCTGCCCTTGCCGGGGGCACGAGGAGAGGCTTCGCGGGGGTGACACGCGCCTCCCACACTGCTGTGGTCTGAGGGAAGGTGTGAAGAGAGCTTGGCAGAGCCGCTGGTAAATCTGTATCTGAGCTGCTGGTAAACAGGAAGCTGCCAAACAGCTTTATTCTTTTTCTTGGTTTTTTTTTATGTTCTTTTGGCCCTGTTTTCATAGCTATTCTTTTTCACTTACTTCATCTCAGGAAACACATTTTTCTGCCACCTCTTGCAGGAAATGTGCAAGATACAAAAAGTGTTGAAAACCTCACAGTTAGCTCAACCCGCTCTACGAGAGGTGGTGAGTCAAAGGTCCTGGCAACGAGGGCATGGCAATTGCACTGGCATAAACTGGAAGCCCACAGGTCAAGCTCATAATGGTGAAAGTAAGGCTAAAAGGATTTGACCTGGCAGAATTATACTTACTTCTGTGCTATGATTACATGTTGCAACGTGGGGGGATTTTCACTGAGATCAGAAAGAGCTTTCAAACCTTTCTGGTCAAGAGAGCCACAGGCATAGCTCTCTTTCCAGAGCTGCAGCACAAGGCTCTTGGGAGCTCGTTTTCAACCTCAAAGACCCACCAGGGATCCTGCTGTCCACACCGGGCACATCCACCATCCACGCTGCTGCAGGCGAGTGCAGCCACGCGGAGCCCGCGCGCCAGAGCTTGCTGGGGCAGAGGGAAGGCCACACACGCTCAGCACTTTAGTGTGGATCCAGCAAGTCATCTGGAGGCGTCAGGAGCAAGCAGGACAGACTGTGCTACCGCTTAGCAGATACCCTAGGCTTGCCCGAGGCTGTAGGCAGCGGTGCAGGTCTAAAACCCGCAGGGAT